AGTTCCATAAAGGTTTGACATTTATATTTAAAGCTTGAAACCCTATCATTTTAAACAACAAAAAACAACAAAAAAAAAAGAAGTTGAAGATAATTGATACATAGCTGGTAACAAAGTTAATAACAATTTGGTATTTGGCACAATTAGTAACAAAAAAACGTGTTCTTTAAAAGAAAAAAATTACAAGTCTAAGCATTTTGTTCAAGGACTGCAACTGGTGCCAAATGTTATTACCGTAACCCAGGCTAAAATAAACTAAGAGCGGGTCACTTCAATTCTCCAACACTATGTATATGGATTTGGGAACACCCCCTTTTGAAATGGTGACCTTAAAAGAACCTATGTGGTTACATCAAGTCAGGTGCACCCATCAGGTCATGTGATCCCATCAAATCAGCTGTCAAGGTTTAAATTTAATTTTAAATGTTTACACAAATCTCCAGAACTTTTTTTTTTCCCCCCCCAATTTTGAATTTTTATAAAGTCGCCATGAATATATTCGTACTGTAACTAGGTAGTCCAAACCAAAATTTATCTTTAAATGTAGACTGTTTTAAGGACTCTCACGTGATAGAACTTTTTAATACAAGAATTTTGATACCTGGTTTATTACAACAGCTCAATAAATAAAAAAGTTATGAAGTTTTAAAATTTGATAAAAATCAATAGGAAATTGGCTATTTATTGACTGTAACTGTAACACATATTAACCTTCTTTTTTTTTTTTAACAAAGTCATCAAAACTATTTCTTATTGTAATCTTTAATTTCATTTTTTTTTTTTTTTTTACAATTACTAATCACATTTGTGTTTTAAAAAATGAGTGATCAAGAACAATATCTACTGCAATGGAAATATATCTACTGCAATGGAAATATATCTACTGCAATGGAAATATATCTACTGCAATGGAAATATATCTACTGCAATGGAAATATATCTACTGCAATGGAAATATATCTACTGCAATGGAAATATATCTACTGCAATGGAAATATATCTACTGCAATGGAAATATATCTACTGCAATGGAAATATATCTACTGCAATGGAAATATATCTACTGCAGGGGTCGGGAACCTATGGCTCGCGAGCCAGATGTGTCTCTATTGATGGCTGCATCTGGCTCGCAGACAAACATTGGATTATAAAAGAAAAGTGTTTCTTTAGACTCCTTTGATCAACATATTAATTGCACATCAATATTTGATTAGCAACAGCATAACAATGGTATTCAAAAGAATTCAGAGACATAATTATTGCATTTTTAGTGTTGAAATTACACAAAATGCACACATCTACTTTAATTTTTAGTTTTAAACATAATGTATGGCTCTCACAGAATTACTTTTTCAAAATATGTGGTGTCCATGGCTCTCTCAGACAAAAAGGTTCCCGACCCCCTGATCTACTGCAATGGAACAATCAGTCATACATAACTTAATAGCAGTTTGTTTGTTTTAGTTTTTTTGTCTAACTAACTTGGCTTTAGGCTTTGGCATTTAGTCCAACACTATAATTCATGCATCTCCGTAACAAGCTGATAAAATGCAACCCTACATGCACAGGAAGAAGCTGTGTTTTAAATATAACATGAAGAATACTCTAGTTGTGTTTCTAAGCTATCTGTGAGGCCAAACCTGACCCTTGCGCTGGTGGTGGCGTTGAACGGACCTGTAATAATCATGATATTATGCAATGGGTGAGCAGCACTAAAGGCCGCTTAAAGGCAAACACAAACCACGGTAGCTGTTTTTTTGGACCATTTATTGTTTTCAAGGGATAGGTTTGATTTTTTTTAAAATTAAAGCAATTTGGACTTTTGGTGATTTTAAAATTAAAGCAATTTGGACTTTTGGTGATTTTAAAATTAAAGCAATTTGGACTTTTGGTGATTTTAAAATTAAAGCAATTTGGACTTTTGGTGATTTTAAAATTAAAATCATCAGGAAATAGTATACATGGGATCATCATAGTAACTCAAAGCTAGGAATATTTTTTTTTTAAATTAAAGCAATTTGGACTTTTGGTGATTTTAAAATTAAAATCATCAGGAAATAGTATACATGGGATCATCATAGTAACTCAAAGCTAGGAATATTTTTTTTTTAAAAAGAGGGAGTGGGGTGGGACAGTGACCAACAATTTAAAACCAAAAATGTATGATAGATAAGAATTGGTTTCAAATTTAAAATAGCCACTCTACTTTCAATCATCCCAGTGAAATGCTACCAAACGTCTGTATGAATTAAGAATATGAGTGGGCTTTAAACACCTTTAACAGGCAAAGCACATTTTTCTGATTATAACTTGAAATCGATAACAATGTTTGAGCTAAGAGGAATCCTTGGCCCCCCCCCCGCCCCGCCCCCCCCTCACCCGCCAAAAAAGAAAACCTGGCGGAGCAAACTGACAAAAGAAATGAGGTTACATTCAACTAAGGTTCCTGAGTACTGGCTGTTAGACACTTGTCAAGACTGGAAGATGGTGGATAAGTTTGAACTCCTAAGACTTTAAAACAAAACCAAAATAAACCTTTGGATTCTGTAAAAGGCCAAACAAACTAAAACAAAACAAAAAAGGGACCCAATGCCGTCCCAATTCTACTGAAAAAATGAAGGACTGTTTTAAGGGAAGGAATTCCTCCTTACAATACCTTAAAAAAAGAACAACAGCGGCCTGGAATGACAGACGGCAAAGGTTGTGGATTTATGTTCATCATTTTAACCACAATTTTTAATAAAGCAACATCTCACCTACCTTTCTACATTTAAATAAGTGTTACTTTTGGCAACCTACAAATAAAGTAATTGGGTGTGCAGCCCAGCTCACATTTTGGTGAGCCTGAATAAAATTACAAGCGGGTTTTTTTTTTATGGGTATTTTTTTTTTTTAAGTTTCATATTTTGTAACTACTTGAGGACACCATGCTTTCATTGGATCATCCCCGAACAAGCAGAGATTATGTGCATATTTAAAATGCCACTTCTATTCTCATTACTTCTTTGATGACTTATTAGGACACATGTAATTATACCAACCAACACTCACACTTCATCACTAATGATGCAAACATTTTTTTTTTTAAATACATTAAGTCTGAAGTTGTCTCATTGTCAGTTTCCAGACTCCAACACTGACTGCTCGTCCTACAAAAAGTCCAATTGAAGGTATTCTAACATCAGCATAACATCATACATATTCATAATAAAAGTACAGAGACAAAAAAAAAAAAAAGTTTAACAGCTTATGATTAGAGTGAAATATTGTATAGTAGATCTTTCACTGTGCGCATTAATGACTTTCAACTAATAATTTCATAATCACGGTTTACATCTGGGGCCTTGAAACTCCAGTGCATGAAAGAGTGATGTCACAAACGGACATGTCATGGAGGTCAAGAGGTGGCACTGGCGCTCAACAAGGATAAGTAGGTAAACTATTATTTTCAGGTTTCAAACAACACATTTAATATCACACAGCATGTACAAACAGTCTTTAGGGAAAAGTTTCTACAACTTGTTGTATGATGGGCACAGTTGTTTGTTGTCTAAATCTTGATGCGCCTTTAGGCTGCTGTGAAACAATTCATGTTTAGAAATTGTTGGCCAAAATATTTCCTTAAGGGTGACCAGCTTTATTTTCTTCTTTCCTTTTTTAGGTGACCAGGTGGACCTGAACGTAATAAATCAACCAGTTCAAATGTATGCAGAGATCTTTGTTAGGAACAGATCTTACGGGGTGGAATTTCAGGTAGGAAATGCAATGATGGGACCAACAGCTTACATTGGCCAGAGTAAAGTTTCAATAATAATGTTTTGGCCATAAGCTGGTTTAAAGCACATCTAAGTTACATAATTTTGCATACATGTGCAGCACACAGGGACTATCATGATACAGGGTAAACAAACTGACATGTTGTCCTTAAACTTCAAGAACAAAAGAGGTTTTGTTTAAAGAAGAATATTTGAGAGACTTAATTTGACGATAATGGCTCTGATCAACTTTCTTGCTAGACATCACATGGTGATGAAAAAAAAAAAAAAAAAAAAAAGAATTATTTATTTAAAAATACCATTTACCATTACCCGGCAGGTTAGCAGCTTCACTTCAAAAACTAAGAAATGGCAAGAGATACACTACATGAATACATTTACTGGAGGATGCCTGCAGGACCCATGTAAAGAATTTATTTCTCCTAAGGTTATCCCCTGCAACAATCACTCCATCACAAAAGGGAACAGAAATAATACAGATGTATGTAAGAATACGTAATTCAGTGCCACTGCTGTATGCAGGCACATGGTCAGTTTAAAATTTAAAAAAATAATATCGTACAGCACTTTTCCCCCAAAAGTTACAGGTTAGGTTTATGTACAAAAAGAAGATGTTAGAAAAGGCTTTCCGTAGATATGAGCTAAGCAAATCTGCTTGAAGTGCTTTAGTCATGTCCACACTTTGGACACAAAGAAAAGAAAAAAAAAAAAAAATAAAACAAATTGTAGGAAATGCATTATTTTCACTCAGTCTTCACTGACACATTGAAAGTGTATGAAAAAATTCACACAAGATTACACTTGTAAAACCAGACCAGAGCTTGACGTTTAACCTTACTTTTGGGCCTCTTCATCTAACATAAAAAAAAAGAAGCGCACTAGGATAAAATAAATGTTTCGAGATGGCCATAATATATTTAGGGGAGCTAAATGAATTAAAACGACTGATTTCAATGAAGGGAGAAAAAAAAATGTCTGAGGTAAGAAACATTCAGAATTTTTTTTTTAATAATTGTGCTCTGAAAATAGTGTTGATGATAACACAAAGGTTTTTATCGTCTTGCAATATTTTTCACATCTGTCCATAGTCACATTTACCAAAGAGATGTGTAAAAAATACCTGCAACTTAGGGCCTCACAGTCAGAAAAAAAAAAAAAATTAATCAAAAAAAAATTAATAAAAAAAAAAAAAAAAAAAAAAATAAAATAAAAGAATCCAAATGAAGGCATCCAAATTTATTATCACAAACATTCAATGGAAAACAGATTTAAGGGGCAAACTTTTAAATTTAAAGCTGTTGCTATGAAACAGTTGAAGGTAGGCAAGCATTTCAAAGTTTAGTCATAACTTGAGTTATCATCATCCCCGGACAGATTTGGTGGTGTTGTCATACACCATGAAATCTGGCAGGGGATGCTGACATATCGGTGTAAACACAAAAAATAACATGCCATAGTTAGCAAAACAATTTGTGCTTACAAATCTATCTTTTAGTAAAATTAGTTGAGTTGTGATTTAATTATTTATTTTCTTTAATTTCTAACATAAGCAAACAATTTAATTTCTATTATACATTGTGTGACTATATGAAAAATAAACTTGACATAGTTTAGAAAAGTGCTGACTTTGTAGTACAGTACTTAGCTGCCAACTAAAAAAAGTAAAAACTATTCTCATTGAAAACATGAATGGGACAAGAACACATTGTGAACAAAAAATATAAATTTACAATGACAATGTATTAAGACCAAATTATTTCTTGACATACATCGCTTTTAAAGGACATCATCTTCAACTAATTCAGTTACGTGCAGAAGAAGTTTTACTTCAAAATATTTCATGATCGTCATAGTGCCTTTTGGCAAGGTGCCCCCACAGCAAGTACAATGTTTAACATCACATATTCAACGATGCTAAAAAAATCATATTACATTACAAAAACAAAACTGAAAAAAAATATATATAACCAGTCATCTAATTGTGATATATATTATTTCTTCCACGCAAAATGAGTTGAAATCAGTATCTAATATCTAAAAAGAATTGTAGACACTAACTTGAAAGTTAGTCTGAGAGTGATTTCATTTCTAAGGGGAGGGTAAAAAATCTAAATTATCCTTCAAATGGTAATAACAAACAAAAAAAAAAACCAAAAAAAAATGTTTAAATTTAAACATTTGACATAACCATCTGTTTTTGTAAGGAATAATTTTTTATTCTTACTTATGTGAACAATGTACTTATGTACAATGTACTTAATCAGTCCTCTCCAAGAATTAATGTGAAAAACCCTGGCTTTCTTTAAAAATAAATAGCTGGCAGATTTCTGCTTTAATAATTGTACCTGAGAGAAATTATTAACTTTATCATGGGAGCCAAGAGTCTTTGTTTTTATTTTGCTTTTGTTAATATTTTTGTTTTTTTTTTGTTTTAGGGTAGGGGTAGTCAGTAGAATGTAGCGCAGGTGATTGGTCAGTCCTCAGTTTTGTTCCTGAAACACTCAGTGACAAAGATACTATATGCTTTTTTATTTTTGCAACACAAACTTATGACTTACATAGGAAATGTTTTCAATCAGTTGTTATTCCATAGAATCAATCTCAGGCATTACAGGATTGTGTACAAAGCCAAACTAAAGAAAAAAAAATTTTTGGTCAAAAGCAACACAAGTCCTTCAAGTGTGCAACTAAGAATTATGTGGATTGAAATATGATAAATCTAGCAAGCATTTATGTCCAAGTCTTTTCCTGTTGCTCATGATTCCCTAATGCTACTCTGTAGAAAATCCCAAGGAGATTCAAAGACCTTTGTTGAGTTGGTTCAGAGACATATTTGAATTATTCAGGCTTAGGGGTAGAAAAGCATTCATACTATTTTAGGCTACTCTCACATTTAAAAACCCCCACTGTAGAATGGCAGTGAGGCGAACAAAGAAAAATTTTAAAATTTTAATCCATTTTTGGTCCCAAGATGGTTTCTTCCATTTTAAAAAAAAAATTTTGTTAACAAGCCAGGACATAAAATAATCTCTTAGGTTTTTAAATAAAGATTTGGGTGAATTTTTGGATCTGATCCATTTAATAAGTCTTCAACCTAGAATTTAAGTTACATACAGGATTCATTATACAAACAAACCAAAAAAAAATAAGATTAAATCAGGATGATATGGACAGTGCATTATTTATTCAAATTGTTAATCATAAAATGTTGTGTTTAAAAAGCAGGTAATTATATATTTTATTTTGTTGTTGTTGTACACTCCTACAGTTTAAAATAGAACAGCCTACACAAGAACAAACTTATTATTTTTTAAAAAAAAATCATATATAGATTTTAAAAAAATAATAACTCAGGTCCCCAGATATGAATCACACAGCAAACCAACCATTCTTTACAAAATTACAGGTCAACAGTGCAATTGAGTTAACATTGTCTAAAATAACCTCAGCGGTTTATAACAATATTACATGTGACATGAAGAAAGAAAATGTACACTGATTACAATGTGACAGAATGAAGAGAGACGATGAGGGAGGGGGGTTAACTCACACACTGCTTTAATAATGTGTCTTGTATATTTCCTGGTGGTGCCAGCCAGGGAAATAAAATCTTAAATATTGGGTACAGATTCCTTTAACTAAAACTGCACTTGATAGCCATTAGATTTTGCACTGTGACTTAAGACGGGGTATTCCATATGACGCAAGTTTGGTTTTTTTTCTTTTCTTTCTTAACTGAATAAAAAAGCTATTTAACTTAAAGCTAAAATTAAACAAAATTTTTTTATCGAGGATAATGCTAAGGCTTCCAAGGTCATTTTAGGACTCAAAATAATATCACCAGAAAAAATTACTCTAGTAGTGAATGAGTTAATGCAGCCCTTTTATAAACAAAAAAAAAAAAAAAAAGCAAATGGTGATGAAATGTTGGGCGCAAAGGACAGCTGTTGTGACCGGTGATAAAAAGATGAATGGATGATGGACTACCATGTCCGTGATAAATGTAGATTTCTGCCCAGTACAGATCTGACATCATTGCAGAAGCGCAATGCATCTAACATTGGTAGAAGGCAGAGCAAAGCTGTGTCACGGGCATCACTAAACCATGACTTTATAGGGATAGCATTATCTGCAGGGCAAACCAAGAAAATTGTCTTACATTGTAATATAAGTGAACCAAAAGCCAGAATGAAATGAATTAATAAAGCTAAAAAAAGGAGAAAAAAAAAAAAAAAAAAATGAAAAAAAACTTTTTTTTTTTTATAAATAAAATAAAAAAAAAAAAACCAAAAAAATTGTCTTAAATTGTAATATAAGAGAACCAAAAGCCAAAAAAAAAAAAATTAAAAAAACTAAAAAAAGGAAAAAAAAAAAAAAAAAAAGAAGATGAAATAAAACTTTTTTTTTTTTATAACTGTAATAAAAGAAAATATATTTTACTGCCAAAAGAATACAATTCCAATTAGCTAATTGGTGAGATTCTAATATATTAAGCAAAAAAGGTGAAACAAAACTTGAGGCATTAATTGTTACCGTATGAAACAAGTAGTAATGTCTTAATGTAGTTTTTTTTAAAAACAGAAGTAAAGATATAGAATAAACAATATTTCTTAATTTTTTGTGTGCGGTATGTCGACAAATACTTGCTGGTATTAATTTATTAATTCTCATCTTTAGTACCTACCTGGAAACATCCTATAAGCAACTGGTGAATTATCTAATATAAATATACTGGAAAGATCTGGGTTGATGGCTGACAAATCTTTTGTATAACTTCCCATGTCCAGGTTACAATGCTATGAGAAAAAACATGGAAGAACTCACAAAATGATTTTAAATTTTTTTATAAATGACAATTATTAACCCTCTTAGCTGCAATACAACTTTCCAGCCTTTAAGCCTCAGTCACGCTACAGCCAAATCCTGCCGTAAACACAACACCATTTTCAGCGCTGCCGAGAAAAGTGAACTATTCTTATTAAGAAGTTCCAAAGAGCCTATTTATAAACAGGAAGTGTTAAGCTATTTTTCGTGGCGATTTTGAGTATGTGTGCTTGATTTTACACTACTTTCAATTTTTAAAATAATGGTTAGTTGATGTAAACCTACCCTTAGAAAATTGCAATTGCATTTCTGGAATAACTTCAAGCCGCAATGCATTTGATGCAGAAATACATAATGGAAATAAAAGTAATGTCGATATCTGATTAATTCAACGTCTGATGTCCCAGATGAACCAAACGTTGAAGATAGGAATGATGATAGAGCTAACTGGTCTGACCAATTACATTACATTGAAACATTTGTTGGTGCAACTGGTTTTTAATAATTATTTATGTCAGCAGCTTGTGAAAGAAAATGAGTTATTTCCCTTTGCTTGGTAGTGAGATCATTTCTTTATGGGCCCTGTAATACTGAGAGGGTTAATTTTTTCCCCACTCATTAGATTTCAAATTTCATTTATTCAGGATTTTGTCATAGACTGTTTCCAAATACATCACAATTATTTTTGTTTGCTTTAAAGAAGAAGCAAGAGAGATGTTTTATGAAAGCTAGACACAAAGCCCTTCTTTTTGCATATCTATTATGAGTGTTAAGTTACGTTGGAAGTTAAATATCCTGAAAATTTTGGGCAAATTAAGATTATCGTCATCTAAAATTAAACAAGTTCCAGACTTAGTTCAATATTTTCTGGTAAATTATAATTAAGTGGCATTTTTCCCATATAAATTTCGAGGCTTAAAAAACCCCCATAGATTTCACTCAAAACTACTCAATCTAAATCAGACAATTGAGCCCTGAAGAAACACTCATGCCTAGCTTGATTGATGTTCAGATGATGTTGGGAAAAAAAAATCATGAATGAATTTTGATAACTTTTGAGAAGCATTTTACATAATACCCTTAACATTCTTGAGTCAACGCCTGTTTGTTTAGCCTACAGGAAAGCAATATGGTTGCTTTCGTAAGACAAAATTTTTTTTAAAAAGACAAAACAAGAACAGCTGACAAGATTTACCTGAAATGATTAAAGAGATGTCTAAAAATGTATGAAACTGTGTTGTATTTAGCAGAAGTAAACTGCTTATTTGTAGTGATAGAGCTCTTTGACTAACCTGCCTATAATAGCGTCGCCTTAGAACATTCTTTCCCCCATCCAGTTTATCAGCGACTGCAGCGCCATAAATCTCCATACTAGCTGTGAATACGACCAGCTCATACCATTGACTGACCTACAACAGGATGTAAATATAGAACGTTCATGCAATTTTTTTACCTGCAAAATGAACAAATAAATAAAAGCTTATGAATAATTGGCAGAACACCAATGTGCATGACTTGTGTTAGGGCATTTCTAGCAACTGAAAAATCACTTTATGACATCTTCATTTTAAGCAGTATTTTAAACTGTGTGTTTGTGTGTGAAGGACAATTTGGTTTATCAAGACCTCATCCCATAAATATGTTTGCTTCAACATTTTCATAGCGTGTGCCTTGTTCATTGTCCTTAAATTTATTACACTGCTATAATAAATGCATAATATAAAGTGTCTAAAAAAAGTTGTAACTAGGTAAACAAAGTATGAATGAGTATTGATTAGACTACCATTTTGCTGTTTAAATGTACAGCTCATCGAGCCCAGTTCTATTAAAGCTTAAAAAACTCAGAAAGTATGATACACCCATGTTAAATAAAGACAGTAACCCTTAACAACAAAATGAAATGTTATATATATATATAATCCTATCCTGCACCCAGGTCTACCCTTAAAACATGATATGTCTTACCACTTCTAAAAAGAAATCAACATGAGGCCTTTTGTGAACAAAAAATCTGACAGGATGCCTGTCTATAGTGACCTGCAAAAAAAAATTTAAAATTAATCAAACAGGCCTTTAATACAAATATATGACTATGCTACAGCAAACTTTTCAATTACTTCTTGAATCGTTGCTAATCTGTCAGTCAATTTTCAATATTCACGATACGTCCAAACATGTAAATAGTAACCTGTTCAGCTGAAATATTTTAAAATGACCAGTACCAGAACTTAAAGAAATTAAAAGACAAGCTTTACATCTTGACCATGGAAAAAAAAAATTGATAGGGAGACGATATCAATTTTAAGAGTAACATCTTGACCATGGACATGGAAAAAAAACTGATAGGGAGACAATATCAATGTTAAGAGTACAACAATCTAGGTATATGAACATCAGAAAACATTCTTGATTCTTGGAAGGTACTCCTTAAACACAACTGTCAAACTTTATTACTCACCTTTAGCACAAAATCCGGCGGCGTTCCTGGTTTGACTTGTCGTAAAACACCATCATGATGTGAATGAATTAATGTTTCATCTAAATCTAAAACTAAGACCTTTCTTTTCATCATACCTGGGAAAATAAAATTTATTGTTTACTTTAACAATGTACCCAAAACTTTTTTGTATGACACTTTTTTTTACCGTGGTTCCCCTTGACTGAAGCTCCCTCCAAGCTGTGCACAAAGCCCAGGATGTTGGCGCTTGGTAAATTTAATAAATAAAATGCATTGTCATTGCACTTTTTACTTTTTTTTAGAACTTTTATCTTACAGATAGTAAAAAAATTAGACAAATAGCTATAGATGATGTCAGCATAACAATGAGTCTTGATTGTATCTACACAGTGGTTAACCCTTGCTGATGAAAATTACTAATTTTGCTCATTTGAATTTTCATTGATGTCTTCATCATGCACACTTGTTTTCCTCTTTTCAAAATATGGCCCAAAAAAACTATTGGCACTCAGCCCCAATTAGAATATCATAGACTGCAGTGAATTAAAAACTTTTATAATTCATTGTTTACTGGAAGGCTTATATTTTTGGTTTGTTTTTTTAAATCATATATCGATAAAATATTGCATTTCTATAAAAACCTTTCTAGTGATTAAAACGCTATACTCACTAAGCCTGTGTTTGGATAAAGGGGACAAGGCAATGACATCATATTTCACTGTTTGATGCTGAATAACCTGTAAGGAAAGTAAAAGATTATTAATGTTTTAATGTAAAACATTGCAAGTTATGCTTTATTCATCACTGACAGCTATCAATGGTGTTTTTTTTTTTCTTAATTAGATATTAGAGTGCAATTTTGACCAAATGTGACTAGTGTTACATTTTACCCACACTTTCCATATTTTTTTTTTAATGATTTCCAATTTAACAGGATTTTGTACAGGTTTTCACTAGATTTAGACAAAAATTAATATTGCACTCGTTTAAAACTGTTAAAAGCAAGCAATTCCTATTGAGGCTAATGTTTTTAAGACTCAAACTAGGGATATAGTTATAGCTGGTTTCCACTGTACATCTATATACCCAGTACGTCTCATATATATGGTAACCTTTGTCAATAGCGATATTAATTCAAAATGGACACGGAGTATTGGCTAAGGACAGGGGTAAAAAAATGCTCGACATGAAACATACAATTCTCATTGATACTATATATTAGGTTTAAATAGCTGAGCCAGTGAGTGGTGATCTTAATTAACAAAAAGTAGTAAAAGCTAGTTTGTTAGAGGTAGACAATCCATGTCCCATAAATGTTAACTTGAACTAGGCTTGTTAAGTCTTTTGAGATGCCAGAATAAAGCAGCCAAATCAGATATACTCTTGCTGGCCTAGTAGTAGATTAGATTTTGCATGTAAATGTATGAGTATAATCATAACTTTAAACTTAGGTTATGCCCGAAAGCATTGTTTTAAGTTAAAGTTAAACATTAGTAATTAGTCAAGTTGCAGTTTTAGGTCTATGGCATGGAATCTGGATTTTCTACATTCACCCCATGGCTGACTTATGGCTTGGCTGTAACCTAGCTTTCATTATGTTAGGGGTGACCCTTCCCCAGAACTCCCCACACTTTCAAAACCAGAAAGTGAGATAACAAAACTTTGCATAAGTCATAAGTAAACATAAAAATCTAAATCTTTTGAATACAAAGCTATATAGAATAGTATAGACGGAAGATGACATAGGGGAACCTCCATGACCTATATATGGAAGACTTCACTGGCCTTACGACTAACCCAAAATCAGCCGAAGCGATGTATTCTACCCAAAGCAAATTATAGGTAGGGAGTTTTGCACTTAAATCCCATTTTATTGTCATTGTGTAATATCTTGACTTAGGAAGCATCTTGTCCTACGAATCACAAATTTAATTCCCTCATTTTCGTGCATTATGTAGTTCTTTATTCAGAATGTGTGTATGCATACACATTGTTGATCAATCTCAAATGATATAGGGGTCTAGGGCTACATATTAAAAGGATAAAAGCTGCCTAAATGACATGTAACATTATCAGCTCTGACGATTGTTTTTATTGTAGTGTAGTTGTAGCATTGCTAGGTGACTTACAGCTCGAACTTGTCGTTTGAAAATATAACAAATAAAACTCCATATTTTGGCCGCTAAAACAAAGAAGCCACGCAATCCCATAACAATATATTTTATCATGATATATGCAGCCTTATCTGCAAAAACTGTTTATAGAATTTGAGCGGCGTTTGAGATCACTTAGGATCATTTACGCCGCCATTGGTATCCCACAAGCTCTCGTAAATCTTTACGGTGCTGAGATATTTTGAAGCATTGGTATGGTGCTTATTCTCATAATACCCATTTTAAAATTAATTTTGTGTGTGAAGTTAAATTTATCGTCTGATTAGTTTGAGCAACGCTATTAGTGTGGTCACTGATGTAGACAGCTTCAATTTTAATGTTTATTTTAAAAAATTCATGTAGTATCGACTACTGTTGGTGGAACATTTTGAAACAAACTTATTCCGTGGTGTTACACTCTTTACAATTTTACTTGTCCAACAGGCGCACTGGCACTATTAAACAAAGCAACAATGATAGACATTATCCATGTCTTGCTCCACGTTATTTATACTTGTATGAATATGGAGACGTCTTAGATATAATAAGATAAGATAAGAGATTATATAGATGCGATAAGATTCTTTATTGAATCAAGAAATGACATTTTGTGTTGGGTGAGTTGCTTGTTGTTGTTGTTTTTTCTTTTTGTTTTTTTTAATTATTACTTTGTAGGCTACGTGTTCATTTTCAGTAAATAAATAAATACATATTTTTTAACCAAGGCAATATTTTACAATTATAACAAATTAAATAAAAGAAATCAAGAATATTTCTGTAGGGTAGAAATAAGCCATAAATGAACACATTTAGTGTCAATAATGACTTAATTAATAAACATTTACATTATGTAATCGCTGGTTGAGCACGTTGGTAAATTCGTACAGACTGTGGAAGAATACAAATTTGATTATATCTTTCTTTCGGTCCTAACTTAAAGAGAAATAATGCTGGAGCTGATCTTAAGTATCTGGGTTGATGAGGAAGTAAATATAAAGCCATATTTAAATTGTCAGCACCGTCAATCAATGCCTTCTTATTCTTATGCCAAATAATCTACCCCCTGCACGTCAATCAACTAATAAAGGCCTATAGGCATGGGCGCCTGCAGGTAGGGGCAAGGTGGGGCACTTGCCCCCCCCCCCTGGATTGATTGGATAAAAAAATTAGACAAAAATAGACAAAAATGTATTAAAGTAAAAAGGAAACTAAGCTGATGTCCTGTCCGTTTGTTCACCATACAAATATGCTACAGTAAATTAAAACTACATTAAAACATTACTAACAAATTTTTTGCCCCCTTCTCTGAAAAGTTAATCGATTTTTTTGCCACCCCCCCCCCAGAAAGTTTTCTGTGGGCGCCCATGCCTATAGGCCCTATATATAAAGCCCCATTCGAGTGGACGTATAGGTTGATGAAAAATATAGTGGCATAAATTATTATTATTATTTTAATATTTTTTTCCATTGAGGTGGAGGTTTAAAAAAAAATGTTGGCATCGATTATTTCGACACACATTGAAACATAGACTGTTGTTGACAGCGAGAGGTTTGGGGTGGGGGGGGGGCAAAATTTGCTTAAATCTTTATAACGTGATGTATGTATTATCTTTCTTACAAAATATTTGCATTCGGTGAATTAGACTATACCTTTTAGGGGCCATTCATTAATTATGACAACATTTTTCGACAATGTCGAAAATTGCCCCCGCCCAACCCACTAAGGGGTCGTTCGCGAATTACGTCACGCTCAGTGTGGAAAGGGGGGGAGGGGGGGTCGAGACTTTGTGGAAGGGGGGGGTAAAAAATGTGTGACGTCACATTTTTAAAAAAATCTTAAGTTTTCTAATTTTGAAAATCTTTCTTCAATTAATTTTGAAAACATTATTTTGAGTATCAAATTGCCTCAGATATTTTAAGTACCGTGAAACTCAGTCGCTCACCCCTTCTGAACATATCCAAAAATGACGCAAAAACTGTTGTGGCCATTTTCTATTCGGCTTGAGGAGGACTTTGTTGTTTTGCGTTTTACGTCAGAGTTTTCTAATGACGCTACATCTTAATCCGTTATGGGGAAAATGTTAAAGAATAAAACATAATCTTAGTTTACTTATGAACATTTTTATGTATGTTTTGAATTTTTTTAGGTGTGACGTGACTCAAGGGGGGGGGGGTAAATAATTTTTGACACTTTGTGACGGGGGACGGGGGGGGTAAATAATTTGTGACACTTTGTGACGGGGGACGGGGGGGGGTGACGGACACGTATCGCCGCTATTCGGATCGGGGGTTCAATTAGACACAATGCTATTCGGATGTCACTTGTGGTAGTTTATTTGTGTTAGCTGAAGAAGTAAGTTTACAAACATATAGTCCATTCAATTATCTTTCATTTTATACCTAATTTTTGTGTCTTACAAACCCAATAATGATATTTTAAATATTTTTTTTTTAATCCCAGCCTCTCACTTCTGATACCCGGGTCCGAATAACCGCTTCAAAACATTAATATACTGCCCCTTTTTTTTCCTTCTGTTTTGTCGCTGTTTTTTGTGCAAACTAGATGTCCAGGAGGTGGTGAGTGTGTTTGGGAGTGAGAGCATTTCCATTCAAATCCAAAGCAGAAATAGACTAGCAGGCATGGGCTTAGCTAGAGCGTTTGAGGCCTGCGAACAAGATTTCTTTTTACCCCCGCCCCCCTCCCCAACCCTTCTTTTTTCTTCCTTTTATTTTCAACTCTGAATCTCATTTTTTTTTAATTTCAAAAAAACATCAAAGCCCATTTCGGCGCCTCCACTAGTCTTGCGCCCGGGGATATCTGCCCCCTCGCTGTGCCCTCACTCAACCCCACCCCCAGCTCTGCCCCCTCCCCCACCCCCGCTCTGCCCCCCACCCCCACTCTGCCTCCCACCCCCACTCTGNCCCCCCCCCCCCCCCCTTGCCCCCCGTCCCCCCCCCCCCCCGCTCTGCCCCCACTTAACTGAGCCTCCATAGCAAACCGAGCAAGCATCACGGCATGACATTTGATTACAGTCGGATCTACGTGACCTCGTTGGGGGGAAAGGGGCGGGGTTAAACTTTAAATACATAAACTTGATGTGAGTAATTGAATACATATTAAATGCTGTCGTCCAAACAAAACAACTCATTCGTCCAGGATAATTCAACCCCCCACCCCACCCCCACCCCCCCCACCCCCAAACCAAATGCTGCCATTTTTCTTTGGTTAATCAGTAGATCCTGTTCTTTCAAATTGTTATTTATATTATTATTATTATTATTTTATTTTTCTAAATTCATTTTTTTTTCCCCAAGGGAAAGGGAAGCAATATAGGCTCCCACTTACCTTCACTCGACCAGTGAAACAGACAAAACGGTTGAGACAACGTGAGTTTCATAACAGCAGATGGCACACGAAACATATGTGCAAGCAAACAGTCGAGTAGAGGACCTGATTACAATGTCACTTGCTTCGCAGGTGAGCTTTTAATGTTTTGTGGGGGGTGGGGGGTGTGTGTGTGTGTGTGTGTTAAGGGTAGTGTAAAGGGGGAATGACTCTAGATTCGTTACGATGTTTTCGTGGATTGGCTTCCCTTCATGCAACACCGAAAGACAAAGAGTGCAGACGTGAGAAAAGTTATTAACGCGTCTATGATGTTATGGAGGATGGTACGGGTAACGAGTACATTGATGGCGGAAACAATAGAATGAACCGAATCAGAGGCGTAGCGTGGTGGGGGCAGGGGGGGACAGATGTCCCCGGGCGCCAGCTAGTTAGGGGCGCCAAAATGTGCTTTGATATTATGTTATTGATGAAAATAATGGGTATAAGAGTTGAAAAAAAGAAAAAGGGGCGCTAAAAATGGATCTTGTCCCCGGGCGCGAATTTTGTCCCCGGGCGCCAAACACCCTCGCTACGCCACTGAACCGAATCCAAAGCTAGGATAAACTAGTATGACTCGATTTGATGAAGTACACTTTTGGGAGTTCGCCCTGGGTGGGGCGGCAATTTTGGCAAACAACTTTGACTTTGCCCCCAAAACAACCAACAAAAATTTAAAAAAAAACAACAACATTGGATGCGCTTTCAAATTAAAGCTTTAGAAGTACAAATGTCTATGTAATGCAGAGCTCATTAGGATAATTCTTTTATTTATCTTTAAAAAAAGCAAGTTGTTCAACACTACAATGATCTGCCGAACTTTATTTTAAGATTGTACATGTTGACTTAATGCAATTATACATGAAACAACATTCCCCCTTTTTTTTTTTTTAAATTTCAATTTAGAACTTATGGCAGGCAAATCATGACTCTTGCCACACATTCTTAATGATCCATAAAGTTGTGTAAAAATTTTCAGAAGAAATTAAACAAACAAAAAAATATATCACATACATTTGTGTATATATATCCAAATAATACATGGGGTTTTTTTGTTTTGTTTTTTTTTCTTAAATCAGACACTCCGACCAAAATGTCTGATAAGAGTTCACAATGATCTCCCCTCCACAGCTTTCAGGTCTCAACTTTAAAAAAAAAAAAAAGTTAACCTGATAAGGACCAGTGCTGGTATCAAATTAAAAAAAAAAAAAATTAAAAAAAAAAAATTTAATTTGCCAAATTGTCCTAAA